TAGAGGTTTGCACACAAATACTTCACCCACTGAGGATAGTTTACAACAATGGCAGAAAAAGCTCTATGAGGAGTTGAGCACCCATGTGAATTACATTAAATAAATGAGTCTCACCTTTGTGGTGAAATTCTATTTCTCTCTTCTAGGAGGAACTCTCTCAAGTGCTTGCACGATACTTCAAAACTTCTATTCCTCCTCTATTTATAGATTAACTTTGGCACAATTTTTCCAAGTCTAAATGATTAGGGAACAAACTAAGTGTAGGACTTTTGACCAGAGTTGTCTTGGACCATGTGCACACCTAAAGCCATGTGTAGCCTACATTTAATTAAGGAGGAAAAATACCTCCAACAATAAAATCATTTATGATGCCTTCCCCACAAACGAACCCATGACCATTCTCATATCATATTTTTTACCTTGGCTTTCTCAGACACAAATGGCACTCCTCGTGAAGCACCTTGGTTCCTACGCAGAAAGTCACAAATCAGGATCATGGCTTCAGTTTGGTAAGAGAGAAATAAGGAATGAGTGAATCACATTAGTGTCCAAAGGGAGAGCTATAAATTCCTTCTTTACCCAGCCAAAAAATGGTTTCATGGAAAAGGAAAGACAGAAAGTTGTTGCTACCAGATCAGGCAGGGACCAGATTTCCAAATTCAGCTTACCTCGATCAATGGCAATGAGGCTTCAGTCACCCTATTTCCCAGACCAGCTTGGTTCCAGAACATGTATCAGAAGCAGCAAAGATATATGTCACACTCCTTCAACCCCGCAACGTTGAGTATCTGATAGGCAAGTACATGAGGAGAGAAACCTCAATTGCAGGAGCCAGGTCTCATAATTAATATGAACGGAGTGGATAGAATAGCAACTAGCTTGTAGAAAGTTACTGAGACTTATTGTCTATTGCAAGATAATCAATTATCTACCCGAAAAGCCATCTTGCTTTAGACCAATGCCTATAGGAGCCCCAGTAGTTCCATTCTCACCAATAGACCTTAAGAAAAAGAATAGAATTTCTACAGGTAGTATAATCAAGCAGAAGTTAACAGTATAGAAACAAGTACAACACTGTAAATCCAACTTAACAACATATGATATCAAACCAAACTGTTTAAAACAGTTACGAGCACCCTAAAATCTTGTGCACCAAAAATAATTAGAACAAAGGCAAATCAATATTTGCAAACTGATAAGAGCAATATAATATTTCAAACAAGTACGAATCATTAGGGGAAAAAAAACTAACCTCCATTCAGAGCTAATATGCTAGATGCTTCATCAAGATCATAAACATAAATAAAGTTTCAGCTTAAGCCCTAAGCAGCTCTCGAAATTCAGCTAGTAAGAGGAAAAAGAGATTGTGTTTGTCTACAATCTATGGTACAACAATAAACTAAAAGAACTACATGACATCATATGAGAAAAGGTTTCATGAATTTGCTTATTAAAAAAGCAAGGTTTTTTCCATCAAACAATAAAATACAAATAAGAAAGGGGAAAAGGTAAAATAGCCATAAATATCTGCCAAAACATTGTTCAACGGTTCGATAAATTTACTTCTACAATGTGATGTCACACAAACATATAACAAACTAAGGAAAGAATACAATCTCATTCATGTTAATTATTGTGTAACTATTACGGATAAAAAAAAAATTAACAACTAGGTATGTACTTATACCACTGTATAATAATGCAATCAAGACAGTTTTTGTGATACCCTTATTTTAGTTTAGTTAAATGAAGCCAAAAATACTTAATTTAAATTACGTGCAGTGTTAGCAATTCCAACTTGTACAGCAGGTACAGAAATATGCATAACTTTAGTTCTAGGCATTCAAATGGTAGGTGGTTTGTTCCATTGGAAAGGTAACACAACTACTTTTTAAAGTTAAAATTCCATAATTTTCACATAACTGGTATATTCCAAATTTCCATTTGAAGACAGATCAGTTCTGCAGAAAGTGGATCCTAACAGCATATATTCCAAGATGCATAACATGGGCTGTAGAGGTCCAATAGACCTGGTTCCAGGAGCATTTGAAAACTAGGATGTAATTCTTTTCATGGTAAAAATGTTAGGATTTTAGAAGATTCCTATGAATTCAGTTTGCAACAGAACAAAGTCTGTTCTGCAACAGATTGTATCCTGATAACCTTTAGGCAGGAATAATAATATGGATCAGTTTCCATTACGAACCATGGACAGGATTACTATGTATCAATAGAGTCTATTTTGGTTTAAGTAATTTACTAATTTCAGGTCGCTTCAAAATTTAAACAAATGAGAAAAAGTAGTTGGAAGAGTGGAGAAAGTTTCCAATTTAGATAACCCAACTTGCAAGTTGGTCCCTTCAATGAAACTAAATTATGTTCTCATGCATTACAGCTAGAATAAGATAGAACATGCAGATTTGAACAGAAGAGGACTCACTCGTTTCAGTCACAAGGAGATACTTCAACTTAAGTCATATGGCTTTGACAATCAGGTATATCAATGTGGAATCATATAAAATATCAGTCATTACAGAGATCCACGGCGAAGTTATCAAATTAGCAGCTGCCAAAATATAGGTTCACAATTACATTACATCAGAATCAGAATAAAGTAGACATCACAGAAAAATCTGATTTTTACTCATTCTGACTTTGACACTTCCTTCCCTGTAAGATAAATGCTTACACAATGAGGTTGAACCTCAGCATGCAGATAAATGTGATACAACATAATAGCATGCCATACATCACTGAAATTCAAGGTGACACATTTACAATTCACTAGTCACATATAATTCAGATTTCGTATTTACAGCTAGCAAAACTTAAAGGGGAAATTACCTTCCATATTTGGTCCTAGCAACCCTTAAAGTGAAAATTTTCCCAGAAAACAACAGGGGCATTTTTTGGCCAGAACAGTAGTGGTTTCCACTTTCCACCATCAGGTTTCCCCCATGTACAATTGTATATGAATTCACACGTACCAACCGAAATTTTGGAGATAAAATCAAGAATTTCAAAAGATGCATAGCTTAATAATTCAATAAAACAGTAAGCCAATCACATAATTATCTAGAACCACATTTATCCGCATACCTGAACTAGGGAAGTTTGAAAGTGGTTTATGAAGTAAAATTCTAGTAAAGCTTCTTTCAACCTTCTACAGGCCCTTCTTTGCCCTCTCCAACTTAACAGTCCCAAACTTCCTCTAATCAAGCTTAACCCAAAACCCCTAGCACAACCTTCCTCTTCTTCTACCTCAAGGCTGAATGGTTGAGCTTTCTAGGACATGCAAGTTATGTAATTTTCTCTCTCTCTACAAGTTTCTATCCTTTGCTTTCCCTTACTAAAAAGCAGAACAAAATGAAGGAGAAAAAGAGAAAAGTATTCGTTGATAGTGGAAGAAGACCATGATGGAAGGCTTAGTACATGTGTGAACATGTCTACTTGCTCTAAGTCCAGCCATATCTCATGCTTGATTAACTTCAATTTAAATGTAATTATATCCTTTGCAAAATCCATCTCATTATTCCACTAGTTCACTTCCTAGTTTTCCAACTAATTTTTTATTACCAAATTTTACTAATTACTCAATTTATTTTTAAATAGAGGGGGAGCCTTAGAGCAACGGTAAAGTGGCTCCTTGTGACCGGAAGGTCACGGGTTTGAGTCTGGGAAACCCCCTATTCTATTATGCACCGGGGTTTGCCCTTACTCTATTTATTTTAAATCAAATAAACTTATATTCCCTAATTAAAATTTCTAATTCAATTATTAAATTCACTTAGTTTACTAGCTAATCCCTTTTTCGTAAATCCCATTATGCACAAAACTTAAGTATTTTAAGTTTACCCTTCTATCATAGCTTCGATTTAACACAAAAGCAAGTCATACTATATGAAGAATTATAAACTGTATTATATAAAATTCTAGATGTCATAAATCATTAGTAAATGGGGAAAACTAGTATAATGTAACATAATATAAAAAAATTTACCTGTTCACCCATTGGTTTCCGCACCAACTTTTTTTATTTTTTGTTTTTATTATATGTATGGGATCCACACACATTTTTGTTTCGGCAGGAAAAATGATTTTGATTCCTATTACATGATGGTAGCTTTACCCTTAGTAAATAGTATGATGTTTAAAATTGGGATCTTATAGTTTGCACTTTGTCTTTGACAGTTCAACCTATGAAGCACCGATACTCCGAATTTTTTTTTCCAACGTATCCGATACACGTATCGGGAACGTATCGAAAACGTATTGTATCGTATCGACGAATTAATGGTCGTATCGAGAACGTATTTGGAACGTATCGAAAACGCCGTGTCGGAGTCGGTGCTTCATAGAGTTCAACTATTGCGCTAAAATGTATTTAAAATGAAAATTAGATAATTTCTGGTCCAGTCTTGTAATTAGAAGATCAAGCAACTGACCTTTCCAAAAAAAAATAATACTAATACACAAGATTTTTTTTTTGGTGCTTCTTTCTTTTCCTTACAACTACAGAAGATATCAGAAAACTACGAATCAAAACAATGTGCCCAACTATAACTGAGTTTTCATAACTTCTTATGTACTGAAACATTGCAGCCTAAAACACTGCTGAAGTTGTACGACTCTCAACTCAATGCACTGATACTTTTAATATTACTACAACTTGCTCTACTTTTAATATTATTAACAATCAGCTAAATCTTTTACAAACAAAACTTTGCATCGTCAAAGATCGAACCAAAACTCATTGTTTCCTCCCCAATTGAGTGAGGAAATTGAATTAGCAACCTTTGAGGTAAAGCTCTCACAACCAGTAGAATTCTTCGATTCAAATGCCAAAGGCTAAGTAAACCAAATCATGGAATGGAATATTAGTAGTCATGCATTCGAGCATTAGTCAGTTTTAAACATGTGACAAAAAATGACAAAAATATTTCAACCATTTCATTCTTGACTCATTATCTTTATTACATCAAAGAACAGCAATTTCAGGTCATCAATTAGTATAAGGAAAATGGGTTGAAGAAGTTGTCAAGATTGACTATAATCTAATGTTTCTACAGCTGAGTATAGGCTTAGCAAAAAGACAGATGCAAGCATACTGTTCTCAAGAAGCAGAACAAAATTACTGTCACCTTAATGAGAAAAAAATGAGCCAAGGCGATATCAGCCTACATTACAGAAACATATCCTTACAGTTGCAGTTATACAATGTAAACTTGATGAACAGAAGCCGCAGATAAACAATGGATGTGACCTCCTTCATAAGATAATTTATCATTGCAGCTCCTTACGTACGCTAGTGAACTTGTTCACAAGATCTTTTTCTCCAGATTTTCTTAGGATATCAATTACACTTTGTTGATATGGAGGTCTTAGCGGAACTGATTTCTTAAGCATTATCTTGGCCAGATTTGTGGCCTCTGTCAAGTGGCGTCTTTGATAAAGCCCAATTAGAAGAATAGAATAAATATCAGAGTCAATAGAAGACAAGCATCCCATATTCTCAATTGCATCAAGCAAATAGAATCCATCAAGAACCTTGTCCTTCATACAGAGCTCCTTTAGCAAAAGGCTAGATGCCAAAGTATCAGGTTTGAACTCACCAGCAAGCATTTCCCTGAAGAGCCTCTCTGCTTCCTCAGGTTTTTTTATCCTTATCAAAGAAATCACAAGTGAACTGTAGCAATCACCGTATGAAACACTATGTTCCACCACAAATTTGTCAATCAACCTAAAAGCTTCTTCCACTCGACCTTCAGCACAAAGGCTCTCAATCAAAGTAAAAACAGTAACATGATTTGCAAGACATCCAAAAGCTTTCATTCTATCCAGAATATCCAATGCTTCTGTCCACTGGCCTCTCTTACAAAAACTTTGAATCAGAGATGTATATGTAACAACATTTGGACTACAATCCCCACCTTTCTCCATTTCATCCAACAATTCCAATGCCCTTTCCATAGATCCAGACCTACATAACCCATCTAAAATGGCCGATAAAACCACCGAACTGGGCAAACATCCATGTACTCGCATAACCTTGAGCAAAGAGTAAGCATCCTCCGATCGACCCACATTACAGAATCCCTCAATCATTGTCATATATGTAATCACATCAGGACAAAGATCATTCAAACTCATCTCTCTCATCAACTTCTCAGCCATTTCAACGTCACCCTTCTTGCAACACAACCTTATAACCACATTATACATCACAGTGTCAGCACGCAAGCTAAAATTCTCCATTTTCCTTAACACCCACAAAGCCTCGTCAGCAAGCTGAGCTTCTTTACACAGATTAAGAACCTCCCTAAACATGTTGGCAGTAACTAAACACCCTTCAGCCTCATAAGACTCAATCACATCACAAATCATCCGAGGATTTTGATCAATCCCAAGCAAGTTATATGCTTTCCTATACATGTAAGCACTATGCCTGTACCCAGATTGAAATCCAGCCCAAATGAAAAACCTAATACCCAATTGAGATTCCTTGGGATAGCACCTACTCAGAACTTCGATGACACATCGAGAATCCAATTTGGGCTTAACCTTAGACAATGAATTCTCAACACTGCCATTGTTTTTATGCAGATGACTATAAAGGGTATCAGCAACAGAAGCCATACCCATTTGTTGTGTTGAGAAAGTAAGGGTTTTTAATCTGTGTAAGCATGAGAAAAATGGAAAATTTACAAAGTGGGGCATTGGGTTTGTGAAGTTGTGATTGAAGATTAAAAGGGCGGTGAGGGGTTGAGGGTTTTACACATTTGCTAAGAGCAATGGTGAGAGAAGAATGAGGAAGAGGACACACCTGAATCTGATGAACAAGACCAAAACCTTTGACTTGTTGCCCACAAACTAGAATGGATGAATTAAGGTTGTTTATTGGGACGCCCCTACTCCATTGCGAGCACTTGCCGTTCTCCAATAGAGGAAGTGGAAAATTATTATTATTATTAGACTAAATACCCTTTTTGTCCTAATCAAATTTTATTATATTGGCTTTAGTTTTAGTAAATAAAAAGTCTATCGTGGTCTCTAATAAATTCAAAATAAATCTATTTTAGTCTTTTACACTAGCTTTTCAATTTTTCTGACTACAACACTACTGATTATAACATGAATAAACTCTGAAGAATTATATATATATATATATATATATATATATTCATGCTAATATTAGTTTCCACTATCTCTCATAAAAAATTATCCACTCAAACTCCTGAAATAATGACTTATATCAAAAGTGATACAAATCTATTTTTTTTTTTTCATAGGAAACTTTTGATTTTGGCTCCATTTTAATTTTCTAGTTTATAAAAGGGATTAATAACAATTATGTTATAGGAGCACGATTCCTATCATGCGAGACTAACGACAAAATAAAATTTGTCTTTTTTAATTTTATTATTATTATTTTGTTTGTCGTTTTGTGTTGTAGGAAAAAAAAAAACTTTGTTGTAACAGGACCAATCGAAAGCCCTTTATAAAATGACCAAATATAGGTGGTAGAGGGAGAAAGTTAAACTCAAACCTCAAATAAGCATAGTTCCAAGAAGTCTCCATTTTGTTTGTAAACAAAAGTACCTCAAAGAAGAACAGTTCCGAGAAGCCTCCATTTTGTTTGTAAACAAAGTACTATATCCTCAAATACCACATTCCAAAACTAAGGTCCATGTTACCAAATACTATTAGCCACGTAGTAATATTATAATATGGGCAATCCCATTTTTGTGGTTGTCGATAAATTCTTAAAGCAATCCACAGATTTTTTTTATTTTATTTTTTTCATTCTCTCTATTTTTCTTTGCCACCTCACCACACTATAAAGTCTCACTCAGCTCTCTCTTTCCCCCAACTCAATCCAAACACTTTTAAACTCAGTTCCATTTCGTCTTCTTCTTCTCCTTCAACACGCCTAATCAAACTTCTTTTGGTTTCTAATAACACAATGGCAGCTTCAGTGCCAACCGTTGGAACCATTAACATGGCACCGGTACTATGTTTTTCCCTCCCTTATAATATCCTGTTAAACTTTTCAAGCTTTGGTCTTATAGATAGAACATGTTTAGTTTAAATTATAATTTTGATTCATGTTTTAAATATATTTCTCTTAATTTTACTCTAGACATGCCAACATAAACATGCATGATGTACCCTTATGTATATATATATTTCTTTGAGTAGGAAGAGATTGTTAGCTTACTACTACAATCATGGGTTCCTTATGAATTTGGTGATCTGAGAAGATATATTGAGTTTTTTCTATCTGGGTCTGTTCCAATTTGTTCTCAATCATGGTTTTTGCAATCCAATTTGGAGTTTATGGTTCATTGGGGGGCTAATAAAGGGTTTTATTTGGTGCAGTTGAAATTGAATGGCTCTAGCAGTGGAGCTCCAGTGACAAGCTCAGCATTCTTTGGAACTGGCTTAAAGAAAGTTAGTTCTGTGACTTCTTGCCAGAGGAATTTGTCCGGGAATTTCAAGGTTGTTGCACAAATTGAATATGATGAAGAGAAGCAAACCTCAAAGGACAGATGGGGTGGACTTGCATATGACACTTCAGATGACCAACAAGATATCACAAGAAGGAAGGGAAAAGTGGACACTCTCTTCCAAGCTCCTATGGGATCTGGGACTCACTATGCTATCATGAGTTCCTATGATTACATCAGTACTGGTCTTCGCCAGTAAGTTGATTTGTACTTTTAATTTAAACCACTCCATATTAAACCCCGACTAATGAGGGTAGAGGTGAAGACAATTCTTATATGCAGTCTTACCTATTTATATTTGCAAAGAGGTTGTTTTCCAGATTCGATTCTTTGACCTTTCACTAACAATGAAACAGTTTTACCATGGCTTCAGACTTGCCTTTTTTGTACTTTTAATTTAGCTTACAGAAATTTGAAGCTCAAGTTTTGACTACGGTTGGGATTAATTGTTTGTTTTTGTTGTGTGAACTTGTTGAATTGCTGAATGCTAACGAACTTATTTTCAGGTACAATTTGGACAACACTGTAGATGGCTTCTATATTGCTCCTGCATTTATGGACAAGGTTGTTGTTCACATCACCAAGAACTTTTTGAACTTGCCTAATATCAAGGTTCCTCTTATTTTGGGTATTTGGGGAGGCAAAGGTCAGGGTAAATCGTTTCAATGTGAGCTTGTCTTTGCCAAGATGGGAATCAAGTAAGTTTTATTCCATAACAGTATGTATTCAAGATGAAATGTTGATGTTGGTTTAGGCTTAGGTTGTATGCAAGATGAAATTGATACTCAGTTACTAACTAAAGCTTTGGTCTATTGACTTTGAATACAGCCCCATAATGATGAGTGCTGGAGAATTGGAAAGTGGAAATGCAGGAGAGCCTGCAAAGTTGATTAGGCAAAGGTATCGCGAGGCAGCAGACATTATCAGAAAAGGAAAGATGTGTTGTCTCTTCATCAATGATCTTGATGCAGGAGCTGGTAGGCTTGGTGGAACCACTCAATACACAGTCAATAACCAGATGGTAAATGCAACCCTCATGAACATTGCTGACAACCCAACCAATGTTCAACTTCCTGGTATGTACAACAAGGAGGAGAATCCACGGGTCCCCATCATTGTCACTGGTAATGACTTCTCAACATTGTATGCTCCTCTCATTCGCGATGGACGTATGGAAAAATTCTACTGGGCACCTACTCGGGAGGATAGAATTGGCGTCTGCCAAGGTATTTTCTAGATAGACAACATTCCTGAGGAGGACATTGTCAAGCTTGTTGACACCTTCCCTGGGCAATCTATTGGTAAGCCATACCTCAATCCATGTTTCAAGTTAAAATTTCTATTTGCTTACTCCTTGTCTTCATTAACCATAGAAGTTTTTGAGACATTATTGGTATCAGATTGTATAGATGAAATGTGAGTAATGAAATGTTTGATGCACTTATGTGTAGACTTCTTTGGTGCCTTGAGGGCCAGAGTGTATGATGATGAAGTCAGGCGGTGGATTTCGGGTGTCGGCGTGGAGAATGTTGGGAAAAAGCTTGTGAATTCAAAGGAGGGACCTCCAACTTTTGAGCAACCAAGGATGACTCTTCAGAAGCTCCTTGAGTATGGAAATATGCTTGTCCAAGAGCAAGAGAATGTGAAGAGGGTTCAATTGTCTGACAAATACCTCAAAGAAGCAGCTCTTGGAGATGCAAATGAAGATGCTATCGAGACAGGAAACTTCTATGGTTAGGCCTTTGATCCTAAAGCCCTTGATGGGAAAACTGCATCCGGCTTTAGGATTATGTATAATTTAAGATTATTAGGGATAAGGATTAGGAATAAGTATAAGATAATATTTGAATTATGTAAATAGTTTTGTTTTTATCCTTTTAACTGTTAGTTGCTTAATTGTTTAGATTAAATATATTTATCAACTTGTATTTGTGCGTCTATATATAGACGTTTCTTCAATGATGAAATTAACTTTGATTTCATAAAATTTCTAATAAAGATAAACAAGACCAACTAAATGTTAGCCTTGTTGTTTGGATGCAGGACAAGGAGCTCAGCAAGTTCATGTTCCTGTCGCTGAAGGTTGCACTGACCCTACTGCAGAAAACTATGACCCAACAGCTAGGAGTGATGATGGAAGCTGTGTATACAAATTTTAGGTGATTCTTAAGTAATTTTGAGTGCTTAAATAAAGGGAATGGGAAAGCAGTGTAGAATAGTGTTACTCACTATGTTGCTTGGATTAGTACTCACTTTTTTGGGTAAGGTGCATTTATATGAACTCTGAAGTTGTACATTTTGTGTTATTGTTGGTGTAACACATAGTTTGGTTTTATTGAGTGACATGTTATAACTAGCATCGATATAATATCCTTACCTTCTTTCTTTTTGTACAATCTTCTTGCCGAATTGGTGTTCGTCAGAGCTAGCTAATATACATGAAAAAAAGAAAAAGAAAAAAAGCAAGCTAACGATAAACACATCGAGACCTATAAAATGAAGAAAAATATCAATGCACGCTAAAAGCTGATGCATGAATAACCAAGGAAATTGACACAAAATCTGAAATATAAATATTGCAAAATTATGGAGTCAAACTTAATTTCATCAGTGGAGAGGCTTTTATATATAGACCCACAAATACAAATTAATGAATACATTTAATTTTTAGAAAAAGATTTAAAAATCAAGATGGTTTCCCTTTAAATCACTTATTTCCCTATGATTATTTTTATCGAAGTCCATCATTAACACTCTTAGAAACTTAAATAATGTGTCTATTTTACTCTTCTTAGAAGAAGAAAATAGATTGAGGACCAAAAATGAAAAAAAAATAAAAAAATCAAATCAAATCAAATATGTTGGAAATTTATAATTATGACATAAAAGGATAATGACTCGTTTAGTGGACAAGATATGATAAGAATAGATAGGATATGAGAGTTGGATAAGAGTATGATATGATATAAGTCTGATAAACTCATATCATATCATATGTTTTTTTTTTATGCATATCATGTGTTTAATATACACAAGATAAGCAGTCTACTAGGATAATGTTATTTTATTTGGTGTTTGAGACGAACCATATAGTATTATGATATAAATAGACAAAAATTCATATGATTTTTTAAAATTGATTTTTAAACTACTTTTTTTACTTATTTACACATTATTTCTTATTTTAAATTATTAAAAAAAATTAAAAGTCATAATTTTAAATTAAATATATTAAAATATCACAAATAACTTTCAAAGATTTTTAAAATATTAAAAATTATATCCTTACCAAATAAATTTTTTAAAACTAAATTTTAAATTGATTGTGAATATTGGTGGTTGGTGCTTA